TCGCCGGAATGGTCCCGGAGTTATAGGGGGGGTGGAGGTGGGGGTGGGTTAATTATTTTATAGTTAAATTAAATATTAATTATAAATTAATTTAATAATTATTATTTCATAATTAAAATTTAAAAGATACCTGATTTTTGAAATGTAGAACATGTTTTTGGCATTTTTGAAATGTGTAAAAGTAAACACCTTATTTATGTATTCTTCCCTAAAAGGAAATCAATTAATGGTTGTCCCACATTGGAAAATTACGAAAACAAAAATCAATTTATATAGGATTACCCTTTGAAATAGTGTAATCATGTGTAGCATATAAGCTCTCTCCACATGTGCGAGTAGGGGGTGTAAATCACGGATCAAAATAGGCTTTGAACCTTGAATTCATATGCGAGCGCGATCTGCACATACAAATTTCGGATCGGATTGACCCCTTGGGAGGGCTTTCGTTTTGGAATTCTTTTTTCTAGAACTAGCGTTTGGCTTTTAAAACTCCAGAAACGTTTGAAACTCCTGTGGTTATTACCAATGAGTTAATTGATAGATTTCTGGGAGTTAAAAATCTATAATATGAGAATCGTTTTTCCACAATTCAGATACACGAAAAGGAAAGAGAGAAAATCATTTTTTTCACATATTGCATCTGCATCGTTTATAGTACTATCTCTATCGAATTTTCTGGTTTTGATTTTCTTGGTGGTGATATTGTTCGGGTACTAAATCAGTTCGTCGAAGTAAAATCTGTAGTGCTTAAACGCTCAAATTAAACATCAAGCTTGAACGGTGAAGGAGCGATTCTGTTTTAAAGAAATTGTGTTCGCGTATGTCTTAATTTGGAATTTCTTTTAGCGCAATTTAAATTATTTGTTCTATTATTTTATTGCAGTTAATAAAATTATTTTTCCTATTCTTTTGATAAGTTGCTAATAAGGTATTTATCCACTTAAATATACTACCAACAAACTTAAAACAGATTCGGAAAAAAAAATTTAGTTTTTTATATTGTTGATTTCAGATTTTATATACTATGAGAACACCTCAAGGCCGTTTGACATCCACAACCCACAAATGGTTAGTAAGAGCATTTTCAATAGTCTTTATTTTAAAGAACATATTTTCAATTGAAAAAAGCTTGAGTAATCTTTTAAAATAAAGAGTCAAATCATTTTACATAAACTTTTTACACAAAGCCCACCATAAATTTAAAAAAAGATTGATATCTACAAAATAGGACTCAATTTAGACATCTAGTGTATGACGTGTCCTACCGTTACATAAAGTCTTTTCTTTTAAGATAATTAAATTATCTTCCTAACTTCGTGTCACACTGCATCAAATTCTGTGGGCTGGAGACATTCGACAACAGATGCATTTACAAAACCACTCTACAAAATTCCAAGATTATCATATAATTGTTGGTAAAATAATATTGAAGATAAGATCAAAATATAAATGGGACCCACTTTCCTTTATCTCTATAAGACATGTTTTACCAGATTCCTCGGTTAGATCACAAGGTAAACTTCAGTTTGCAAATAATGGGATCTCTTATGGCAGGTTGGGACTCTCCAGTCCCAGATGATAAAGCTGGTATGTTAGTTTGTTTCTTGATTAATTATTACTTATACGTTGGTTTTATAAGTGATTATTTTATTTACTTTTTTTTTTTTTGGTTGTTCAGTGAAATTTCAGAGAAATAAGTCATTGACTAAGGAGGAAATTGAAGCGTTTTGGAAATCAAAGAAAAGAAAAGAAGAGGAACATTTAAGAGAGATTTCTGTTCTGTCACCCCGCAGCCAGGTTTAGTCACTTTTAAGTAACTTATTTATAAAATAAGTAATTTATATATTTCGATTCGATTCATAAGTAATCTTTTTATGCTTATTCAAACGTGCATTTATGCAGGAACAAATTAAAGAGAATTTCTTGGAAAGTGAAACAAGTCTAGATAAACTATTACAAAAGAATGGCTGGTATGAACAATTATGCAGTATTAATTATTTCTATTTTTGAGCTTTTCAAGTAAACAGATAATCGTCGGGTGTCCCGTAAGCACGACTGTCATAGTGAACGAATGCGAATAACATTATTCTTTCCAGTATACTTTGCTTTTTGTTAATAAATTGATACAGCAAATTTGGTACGTTAGACTCGTCTTGTTATTAATAAGAAGAATAGTAAATTCGATCTGTGCAGTCGTAGAACATGTCAGTACGAGTTGGTATCAAAACCTTAACCGATCGATAAGATCGAACATGATAGGATATATTCATGGGCAAAGCCTTTGACTTTGATCAGTCTAGATTTTCGCACGTATCAGTACGAATTGCTATCAAAACCTTAACTGAGTGACAAGATCGAAGAAGAGTTTATCAGTCTTATCTTTCGGACATGTCAGCCTATCCTTGACTGAATTTTACGGTTTTGTATGAATAAAAATATAGTTTTCTTATTCTTTTCTTGATTTCAATTTTTTTTTCCAGGTGGATCAGTAGCAATTCTGCATTTCTAAATGAACCTCCAGTGATTGCACCAGACGGCTCTAATCAGAAGTACAAATCACAATATCATGTAGCTACTCTCACAGGAATCACAAAAACTCACGTCCAAACTGGGTTAGGGGCGTAGTTCGGGCCGGGCTTTGCATTTTTATTTTATGATATATTCCAGTAAGGGATAGGTTTGTGTAAACATCAGCTTATGCTTCGTATTTTCGGCGTGGAAGTGTTTTTGGAAAGTAGCCCGAATTGAGTTTGTTCTCAAGATAGGGCCGGGCTGTTCTTGCGCGTGATTTTTTTCTTCTTTCTTTTACATGTTTTACAGCCTTTGTATTATTGGAATAGACTTTGATCCAATGGTACAATGTTTTTTTGTTATTAATTTAATCACAGTATTATATTTACATTAATTAATTTTTCATTTTGTTTGATATCAGTATTTTCAAAATACATTTTTTTCTATTTTTTTTTCAATCACATATTCTTTAATAAAATGATATTACAAGTGAATTTAAATTTAAAAAAAATACAATATTCATTAATCTAGCATTTTTCAATGAAAATGGGACTCAAACATCTTGACGTAAAATCTAGAGATGTGCTAATGATAAATAGTTTCACGAGGGATCTTTTCATTAGAAATGGTTCAAAAGATAGTTTTTTTTTCCCCCAAATTTTTATTCTTGTTTGTTTGTTATATGGTTAGAAACGTTGGACACATTGTGATGCTCAAGGATAGGGGGATTTTTTTTTAGATTTTCGCAAGGAACTAAAGTTGCAGGACCGGTCTCGATCTTTCCTTTAGTACTAGGAGAGACGATAGTTTTATAGTTCGATCTTTCTTTCAGTACTAAGAGATACAATAGTTTTACGGTACTTATCTAATTGATGTTATGACTGTGACTTTCACTCGTATGCCTTAATTGCAGCCTTGCTTTCACATATACATTTCTTTATGTTCTGGAAAATTAAGATTGCAATTATCTTGAGCGGTTGACAAATTGCGACTCAAATAGCTCGTGTGACTTCAGTTGTGCTCTGAGTACTTGTATGTTGCCTTCCTTGTGACCTCTATTGTGAAGTTAATTGTTTCATATCTTGTGTTTAGAATGATACATTTTACACACACATTTAGTTAAGTGATTTTACCTTTGTATTTGTGTGCCTTCTTATTTTTCGAATGTGACCTCAATTTTGAACTTAAATGCAAATGTGATGTGTTGATATTGTGAATTTAATTACTCGTGTGTGATCGGTGAGATGATTAAAGAGATTTAATTTTTTTCTCTTGATTATTGTTGACCCCAAAAAATGACTCAAAACATGTGGCCAATAGAATACTTTCACGTGAGCTTTTTTCTGCACATAGTAATACACCGTTAGTCGCTCGTGACCTTTTTCGGTGGGGTGAAAGCGGCCGCGAACACTTCGAGGGTCAAATTAGTAAGTTGGTAGACCAAGAACTAGGACGTCCGGTGGTGGAGGTCACCGAAATGTGGTTTTTTATTATTTTTTTTTATCGTGACGTGTGTGGACACATAATGTAAAAGTTTTTTCCTTCTCTCTCTCTAGAGACCAACCCATTCCATAGTGCAAGTATGAGTATTTATAAAGAAAGGGAATAAGAGAAGAACCGTTGGATGTGAAACACGTGGTTTTGATTCTTGAATATAGGGCGGACCGTCAGTCTCATAGTTGTCAATCCGTCAATCCATAGATAGGTAGTTCATTTAATGCTCCTGACAGACACTGTAAGGCGTGACTTGACATTTTGGAGTCTGTCGTACGTCTCATCAATCAGTCATAAGGATTTGGTTCTTGAGATCTTTCCATAAAAAATCTTCTAGTACACAAGGTTGAGTAGAGCGGTTGTGGCATAAGTGATAATCACGTTTTGAAGAAATGAGTTCGTCGTCACATGGTGGATGAAAAACCCGTAACAATTATTTTAATTGATAAGATTAATTTGAGTAAATTTAGGAATTGATTGGTGAGAGGGATCGGTGAGATGATGAAAGAGATGAGACTTTTGTCTTGACGATTTTAATTGATAAGGTGAATTTGAGTAAATTTAGGAATTGAATGGTCAGAGGGAAACAGTAACAAGTGAGACGATGAGAGAGACGGTCTTTAGAATGAAGAATGGTAAAGGTGGCCAAAGCAATTTAAGAACATTGTCAAAAGGCAACTCACGAAAAAAACTCTAAAATTAGAAATTTTTGAAAAATCATATAAAAAATATTTCGAAAATAAAAAACACCTCACTTTTTTATTATTATTAAAAAGTGAGATTCATTACCACTTTTTATTAAAAATCGATATACAATGTCACTTTTTATTAAAAATTGATGTTTATAACTCAAAAAAGTGACATGAATTTTTAAAAAGTGAGAAAAAAATTAGTGACACACTACAAAAAGTGACATACCTTCTCTTTTTCCGTTCACCGCCTAATATCTTTAAATAAATTCACCGAGAAACCATATCTTGCTAATTCTACTATGTATAGAATTTCTAACAAGTTATATTCGCGAGATTTAAAAAAAAGGACATAAACTCAAAAAAGCAATAAATAATTAAAAAAAATGACAGAAAAAATGATATATACTAAAAAATGTGAGAGAAATTCAAAAAAATGACGCGCTTAAAAAAAGTAACAATTGCATCATTGCCTCATCAAATACATCTTCATCTCTACCTCATCAACATATCATACATGTCTTTCATTGGACACACAATCATTGTATGTATTATAATTATCGTCATCTTTGTTTCATCTCTCCATCTGTGGCATTAAATATGGAAGCAATTCAATAGAGAGATAAAAATTTAAAAAAAGTGATGAACACTAAAGAAATGACAATCGCACAAAAAAGTAACAATTGCATCCATGCTATTTTTAGCCAAAATTTCCCCAGTAACTATGTATATTCGCATTGAGTAAGAATACCCCATGGCCTTAAGAAATGGGGGGATGTTTCCCGGGAGAAAGAGGAGGGGCCAGCCCTTTTGTCGTCACCTTTCTTTGCTGTCATTCTCTTTTTCTTTCCAGCGCTTATCATTATACCTCATAACACTTGTTCCCCAGCCTCGGCTGCGGTCAAATTGTTGCTGCAACTGGCTAGGAGACAAGGTGCCTTATTAAAGGGTTTCAATTTGGAGCAATGCTACATTGCCAGGGGGGGAGTGACACCCCCCACTGACAGATCCCTCACATTGGGGGGGGGAGGTGGCTTTTTTTTTCATTTTTTATTTGGCCGGGCCCCACGTCTAATCACTTATAAGTTTTTCTATCACATTCGTGACAACGTATTATCTAATTGATGTTATGACTGTGACTTTCACTCGTATGCCTTAATTGCAGCCTCGCTTTCACATATACATTTCGTTATGTTCTGGAAAATTAAGATTGCAATTATCTTGAGCGGTCAACAAATTGCGACTCAAATAGCTCGTGTGACTTCAGTTGTGCTCTGAGTACTTGTATGTTGCCTTCTTGTGACCTCTATTGTGAAGTTAATTGTTTCATATCTTGTGTTTAGAATGATACATTTTACAAACACATTTAGTTAAGTGATTTTACCTTTGAATTGTCATGTATTTGTGCCTTCTTATTTTTCGAATGTGACCTCAATTTTGAACTTAAATGCAAACGTGATGTGTTGATATTGTGACTTTAATTACTCGTGTGTGATTGGTGAGATGATGAAAGAGATTTAATTTTTTGTCTTGATTATTGTTGACCCCAAAAAATGACTCAAAACACGTGGCCAACAGAATACTTTCACGTGAGCTTTTTTCTGCACATAGTAATACACCGTTAGTCGCTCGTGACCTTTTTCGGTGGGGGTGAAAGCGGTAGCGAGCATTTCGATGGTCAAATTAGTAAGTTGGTAGACTAGAACTAGGACGTCCGGTGGTGGAGGTCACTGAAATGTGGTTTATTATTTTTTTTTTTAATGGTGACGTGTGTGGACACATAATGTAAAAGTTTTTTCCTTCTCTCAATCTAGAGACCAACCCATTCCATAGTGCAAGTATGGGTATTTATAAAGAGAGGGAATAAGAGAAGAACCGTTGGATGTGAAACACGTGGTTTTGATTCTTGAATATAGGGCGGACCGTCAGTCTCATAGGTGTCAATCCGTCAATCCATAGGTAGGTAGTTCATTTAATGCTCCGACACTGTAAGGCGTGACTTGACATTTTGAAGTCTGTCGTACGTCTCATCAATCAGTCATAAGGATTTGGTTCTTGAGATCTTTCCATAAAAGATTTTCTAGTGCACAAGGTTGAGTGGAGCGGTTGTGGCATGAGTGATAATCGCGTTTCGAATGTATTCATTTCGGATTTAGTTTCAGTTTCGACGAAGTGATGCAGAGTGCGGGCCTTAGCATCTGCTGAGGTGGCGGATGAAATCAATTCGTCCGCTGCATGGCAAGACGAAATCAATTCGTCCGACATGTGGCGGGGGACGAAATCAGTTCGTCGTCACATGGTGGATGAAAAACCCGTAACAATTATTTTAATTGATAACATTAATTTGAGTAAATTTAGGAATTGATTGGTGAGAGGGATCGGTGAGATGATGAAAGAGATGAGACTTTTATCTTGACGATTTTAATTGATAAGGTGAATTTGAGTAAATTTAGGAATTGGTTGGTCAGAGGGAAACAGTAACAAGTGAGACGATGAGAGAGACGGTCTTTTAGAATGAAGAATAGTAAAGGTCGCCAAAGCAATTTAAGAACATTGCCAAAAGGCAACTCACAAAAATACCTCTAAAATTAGAAATTTTTGAAAAATCATATAAAAAATATTTTGAAAATAAAAAACACCTCACTTTTTTTATAAAGTCGCGCGTCACTTTTTTATTATTATTAAAAAGTGAGATTCATTGCCACTTTTTATTAAAAATTGATATACAATGTCACTTTTTATTAAATATTGATGTTTGTAATTCAAAAAAGTGATATGAATTTCAAAAAAGTGATAGAAAAAAATTAGTGACACACTAAAAAAAGTGACATACCTTCTCTTTTTCCGTTCACCGCGTAACATCTTTAAATAAATTCACCGAAAAACCATATCTTACTAATTTCTACTATGCAAAGAATTTCTAAAAAGTTA